CTTTGGCAAGTAAACACGATAATTTTGTTTGTTTACAAGTTGCTGGACAACGAATGTTTTCTCATCGGAGATAGAGAAAGCTAAATTAGGCAGTTCACCATTTTCAGCCAAGCGAAGCAACTCTTTAGCCCTGTCCGAATTTTGACTTTGCCTTACTGGTTTTTTTCATACGCAATCTATTCACTGGAAATGGCTGTGAGCTGAAATTGTGCAATTTGTGTACCAACCCAAAAAAAGTAACTAAATGTCTACCCCAAGCTGGCAAATCAAGCATGACGAAAAAATGTTTTGTCCTCCCCTTAAATGCTGATGTTTTTCCTGGTAACTATGCTGTTTTCATGGATGACTATTGTGTTTTTCGTCATTTTTCCTTTTTTTTTGTTGTCCCTGCTCTTGTCTCCCTCCGTTTTTTCGTAATTGCAATTTTTACTGATGTGCATATTATTCACAGACTCTTTGCTGATTCATTCTTTAGTAATTTAATTGTTTTGACGTTAATTTGTTTTCCTGCAGCTGCTCAGGTGGATTCGAAAGCTTTCGAAGTAATTAAAATAGTTTTAATATCAGGAGGTCAATAATCTAAGATTTTTTTTTGAATTTTTTTATACACTCCCTTTGAGTAATTTGCACACCTGTGCATACCTTTCCAATTCATTTGTAAATTGTTTTCAGACGACAAAACAATAATTGCTTGGCAAATAGATCGCATTTGTGAAATGTATCAATTTCTGTTTTCCAAGAAAACATATTTTTTCACTTTGTTCCATTTGGAAAGAAGTCAGTTATCACTTCCCGGAATTGGTCGGACATAAAAGTGATAAGGAGGTTTGTTTTTCGATTTTTTTTTTGCTATGGCATGGCAAATACAATTTATTGACATTTTTTCGAGCTATTAAATGACATTGCTGCAGCTAGTGATGAAGTAAAACAATTATGAAAAGTGCATCCCCGATCTTCTCCCTTGAATTTTTCGGAATGCTATCTGTTACCTGTGAAAATTTGCAAAGGCGAATAGTTGTTCACGGTTTTTTAATTAAGCAAATGACAAAAATGTTTCCACCAAAATTAAATGGCAGTTTGACAGATGGCAGACTGAGCCGCCAGTCAACCAACCAACCAGCCATTGTAGCCTTGAAAACTTTTAAGCAAATGAGAAATATGTCACTGAGTAAGGATTCGAAAACGGAATGTTTTCATGGCACGAAGGATTTTCAATTAAAATTTAAAATAATGTCCTTGCATAGTGTACAAAATATTTTGTACATTCTTTTGAGCGCGGTTGAGGCGCTGGGAAAATCCAGCCATAAACAAATATTCTAAAATTTCACAATGACAAGCGGTCCTGCAATGTTCTCCATTCAATATTCGAATAGATAAGAATAATTTTATGGCTGCGATTAGGTTAAGTCAGATTAGTTTTTGTAGCACTTAAGAAACATATTTTTTAAATACAATCAGAATTGAATCTAAACCCAAGCGAAGTGGTTGTATACTTTTCTCATTATTTTACATTACTCCTAAAATATAACCTCATAAAATACTCATTGCTCATAAAATATAACCTGACAACAATTCGGTGATCTTGTGGGATGACGCATACGATAATCTGTGAGATAATAAAGGTTATGACTCGCCACCCGCACCACTTGACCACTTGAATGAAACGACAAGCGGTCCTGCAATGTTCTCAATTCAATATTAGAATAGATCAGAATAATTGTATGGCTGCGATTAGGTTAAGTTAGATTATTTTTTGTAACACTTAAGAAACATTTTTTTTAAATAAAATCAGAATTGAATCTAAACCCAAGCAAAGCGGTTCTCACTTTACATTGCTCCAGTCGAGCCAAATAAGGAATAGAATTGACAATCGATGAGGGAGATTAGATTCTTTTCTCATTTACATTGGTCCTTCGAGCCGGATCGAGAATTGAATCTACACCCAAATGAAGTGGTTGTATTCTTTTCTCATTATTTTACATTGCTCCAGTCGAGCCGGATAGAGCATAGAATTGATAATCGATGAGGGAGATTGGATTCTTTTCTCAAAAACATTGGTCCTTCGAGCGGGATAGAGAATAGAATTGACAATCGAAGAGGGAGATTCAAGCGAAGTGGTTGTATTATTTTAAACGGCTCCAGTCGAGCCGAATAGAGTTGATAATCGAAGAGTGAGATTGGATTTTATTCTCAAACACATTGGTCCTACGAGCCGAATAGAGAATATAGTTGACAATCGAAGAGGGAGATTGGATTCTTTTCCGGTTTACATTGGTCCTTCGAGCCGGATTGACAATAGAATTGACAATCGAAGAGGGAGATCCAAACGAAGTGATTGTATTCTTTTCTCATTATTTGACATTGCTCCAGTCGGGTCGGGTAGAGAATAGAATTGACAATCGATGAGGGAGATTGGATTCTTTTCCGGTTTACATTGGTCCTTCGAGCCGGATAGACAATAGAATTGACAATCGAAGAGGGAGATCCAAGTGAAGCGGTTGTATTTTCTCATTATTTTACATTGCTCCAGTCGAGCCGAATAGAGAATAGAATTGACAATCGATGAGGGAGATTGGATTCTTTTCTCGTTTACATTGAATAGAATTGACAATCGATGAGGGAGATTGGATTATTTTCTCATTTACATTGGTCCTTCGAGCCGTATCGAGAATAGAATCTACACCCAAATGAAGTGGTTGTATTATTTTCTCATTATTTTATATTTCTCCAGTCGAGCCGGATAGACAATAGAATTGACAATCGAAGAGGGTGATCCAAGTGATCACAGAGATATACAAGAAAATGTTATAAATTTTACAGCACCAACTCGCTCGTATTCGAGTGCCATACAAAATTTGTCGTTTTTTACTCGAAGGAATACACTTGCTCGAAATGGACCGAGTTTTACCCTTTAATTCTTGAATATGAGGGAGAATTTCGGAGGAAACGAGGAACGCCAACTCGTTCTAATTCGAGTGGCATAGACAAATTCTCGCTTTTTTAATCGCAGTAATACTCCCGCTCGAAATGGAGCGAGTTTTACCCTTTACTTGAATTTGAGGGAGTATTTCGGAGCTATGATACTCACCGAAGTACCACCGAAGAGAATCCTTCCTTCTTTTACTCGCCGAAGTACTCTCTCCCCCTCTCTCTCTCTCTCTCTCTCTTTCGAATTCGATCGTGTTTCACTCTTTACTTGAATTCGAGCGAGCATTTTTGTGCTCTGATTCTCCCGTAATAATCAAAGTAGCTTCAATATAAATTGGATTGAAAATTTAAGGTCCTCTCGCTCTTATTCGAGGACCATAGAAAAATTGTCGTTTTTATAAAATTAAATTAATTTTTTTTCTATGAAAATATTTCGCTCTCTAAACCAGCCATCTATCTCCCCCTACTCTCTGTGTGTGTTTTTGTCCATTACCTTTGAACACTTAGTGTGGTTTCATTTTCCTCTGTTACACACTGTTGACATATTTTGACACTTATGGTTGATGGTGGATTTAATCTGGCAAATATGACCCTGGTTTTGTGGAGTGTTCTCTTTTGACATGTTGTTGTTTGTATTTTTTTTAATGGCTAAGTGTAGAACAGATTGACATCGGTTTTGCTCATATGAGCTGCCGACAGATAGCCGTTAATCGGATTTAATGGAAATTTAATAAAAATATTTAATGGAAAAAGCGGAAAAAATATTTATTGAGTTAGAAGTTCCGGATACCAATCCGTTTGACTATTTTGGAAAGCAAGGTTGACACTAAAAAATACCAAAGTGTCGATCACCTCAAGTAAGCACTTCGCCGGGAATGGGCCCAAATACCGCAGAGGAACATTCGGGCAGCGTGTGACGGTTTTATTGGCCGTTTGGAGGCCATAATTCGTGCCAAAGGTGACCGATTCGAACAAATCTAAACTTATTCTTAAATTTGATGCTATTTCCGACATTTTTCGCTTTCATTCAAAAAAAAAAAAAAACAATTAAAAATTATATACCTGTATATACTTTCTATAGCCATATGGTTGAGGGTATAACTCCGTCCGTCCGTCTGTGGAAATTAAATTAGCTTCCGAACAAAATGAAGTAGGTTGATAAAATTTTACTCAAATGTATATTATGTCTGCAGGACTTTTGGTATTGAAAATGGGCCATGTAGGTCCAGGTTTCGATATAGCCCTCATAAAATGGTACCTCCCTACTTTCGGTATTTTGGTGATTTAAGAGACATTATTCACCGGAAATGTTTCAAATTTGGTAGTTGATGCTCGTAATGGATGCTACAGCCTAAGACAGAAAATTGTCTGTGCAGGTCCACGCCATCGTATGGCCTCCATATAACCACACCTCCCGATATTCGGTATTTTGATGATTTTAGCGGCATTATTCACCGGAATTGTTTCAAATTACGTATTTGAAGTTCGTAATGGTTACTACAGCCTATGAAAAAAAATTGCGTATGCAGGTCTTCGTCTTCGTATAGCCTCCCTATATTCGGTATTTTGATGATTTTATCTAACATTATTCCCCGAATTTCTTTTTCAAGTTTCGCATTTGAATATTTTAATGGCTTGTGACAAAATTTGCCTAGGAAGGTCCACTTCGCCGTATAGACCCTAACATAACAACTACATTCGGTATTTTTAAGATTTTAACAGAATTTTTAACGGATTTTATTATTTTTTTAAAATTGCCAAATTCATTCCGAATGGTGGAGGGTATTCAAAGTTCGGCCCGGCCAAACTAACAGTTTTTTTTACTTGTTTTAATATATGTTCTGCAAAATTCTGTCATTTGCTGCTTGAATTTTTACAAGAAGCAGGAAGAACTCTAGCGTGGAACCCTTTAGGATTTTCAATTCAATTTTTTTAACCTAAAGTAAGATTCGCAGGTCCTATCTCTATTCCTTATCTTCCCCCTCCATATCTAATTCATCCATTTTAATAAAACTTTATTTCCGTTTTACTCATCTTTCATCTACTTTTTTTTCCATTCCTTCTCGTTACAGGTTACGCAAAAGATATTTCTGGAGTTGAAAGAGGTATGTATGTGTGTGTTCGGGTCGTTTAATATTCACCGAATTCCAAAAGAGAAGGGAACAGCCATACTTTTGTGAATTGCTGTTTCCTGGCATTGCTTTACTGTTCACTTCCCGTGATAGTCGGGCTAAACTATGAACTATAGACCATAAGAGTCCTTTAAATTTCCATAAAAGAAATACCACTCTTTTTTTCTTCCAACAACTTTGCAATAATTCCCTCACAAACATATATTTTACTTTTGTATATTTTTTGCACAAAAAAAAAAAAAAAAAAAAAAAAAAAAACGAAATAAATAAAACCAAATCGCCTCTTCTAAAAATTCTACAAGGAATATAAAGACCAAGAAGAAAAGTTGATTGTACGAAAAAAAGGAGCAAACTTTTCCCGCACATTAGGAGCCCCAGGCAGGCAGGCAGCCGTGGTTGCTTATATTCACAAAATATTAAACATGAGGAGTACGTAAAAAAACCTAGCGAGGAAAAACGTTTCAACTCTCCAAAGAGAGTTTGAAAACTGTAGAAGAAAAAAATAACAAAAACCAACGATGATATCCCTGCCGCCTGCAAACGGAATGTAAATCCACAATTGGCAAAAAAAAAAAAAAGATAAAGAGACCTCCTCCACCAGTAGTTTACCAGGAGGAACCACTAAACAAATACCCAAACGCCGCTTAGTTACCGCTTTCCTAAGTCCAAACAGGACACAGTTACATGGAAAATTCAAGAGAATTGAATTTTACCACGATTCCGCAACGGAATGAAACAAAAGGAAAAAATAAAAACCCAAAGAGTTGTTTTCATTAAATTTTACCGAGAGTTGAATTGCACATCCACGAAACTTGAAAACAAATCGAGAAAAAAAAAAAAAAAAAAATCCGGAGCCCACAAAAAACAATTCAAAGGATTCCAAAACATTGACTATTCTGTTACTATTCGCCCATTCCCAAAATATTTCCCTAAAGAGCAATCTATAATATGCTCCTAGTGTCACTGGCTTACGAGGGAAGGTATGAAATTCTGACGCTAACTGAAGGTACTTGAAAAAATATTGTTTAAAAAAATCCAAGTTTCTTCAACTGATGGTCCTTGAAAAATATCCTTTGAAGAATCCAGTTTTTTTCAGCTGAAGGTCCTTTAAAAAATATTCCTTAAAAATTCCTCATTTCTTGGTCTTCTGGTCCTTGAAAAAAATATTCTTTAAAAAATCCACGTTTCATCAAATGATGGTCATTGAAAAAATATTCTTTAAAAAATCCACGTTTCATCAAATGATGGTCATTGAAAAAATATTCTTTAAAAAATCCACGTTTCATCAAATGATGGTCATTGAAAAAATATTCTTTAAAAAAATCCACGTTTCATCAAATGATGGTCATTTAAAAAATATTCTTTAAAAAATCCACGTTACTTGGATTCTTGAAAAAATATTTTTTAAAAAATCCACGTTACTTGGATTTTTGAAAAAATATTTTTTAAAAAATCCACGTTACTTGGATTTTTGAAAAAATATTTTTTAAAAAATCCACGTTACTTGGATTTTTGAAAAAATATTTTTTAAAAAATCCACGTTACTTGGATTCTTGAAAAAAATATTTTTTAAAAAATCCACGTTACTTGGATTCTTGAAAAAATATTCTTTAAAAAATCCACGTTACTTGGATTCTTGAAAAAATATTCTTTAAAAAATCCACGTTACTTGGATTCTTGAAAAAATATTTTTTAAAAAATCCACGTTTCTTGGATTCTTGAAACACTATTTTTTAAAAAATCCACGTTTCTTGGATTCTTGAAAAAATATTTTTTAAAAATCCACGTTTCTTGGATTCTTGAAAAAATATTTTTTAAAAAATCCACGTTTCTTGGATTCTTGAAAAAATATTTTTTAAAAAATCCACGTTTCTTGGATCCTTAAAAAAATATTCTTTAAAAAATCCACGTTTCTTGGATCCTTAAAAAAATATTCTTTAAAAAATCCACGTTTCTTGGAGTGGTGGTCCTTGAAAAAATATTCTTTAAAAAATCCACGTTTTTTGGATCCTTGAAAAAATATTCTTTAAAAAATCCACGTTTTTTGGATCCTTGAAAAAATATTCTTTAAAAAATCCACGTTTTTTGGATCCTTGAAAAAATATTCTTTAAAAAATCCACGTTTTTTGGATCCTTGAAAAAATATTCTTTAAAAAATCCACGTTTTTTGGATACTTGAAAAAATATTCTTTAAAAAATCAACGTTTTTTGGATCCTTGAAAAAATATTCTTTAAAAAATCCACGTTTTTTGGATCCTTGAAAAAATATTCTTTAAAAAATCCACGTTTTTTGGATCCTTGAAAAAATATTCTTTAAAAAATCCACGTTTCTTGGATCCTTGAAAAAATATTCTTTAAAAAATCCACGTTTATTTGATTCTAGAAAAAAATATTCTTTAAAAAATCCACGTTTCTTGAATCCTTGAAAAAATATTCTTTAAAAAATCCACGTTTCGTGGTCTTTTGGTCCTTGAAAAAATATTCTTTAAAAAATCCACGTTTCTTGGTCTTTTGGTCCTTGAAAAAATATTCTTTAAAAAATCCACGTTTCTTGGTTTTTTGGTCCTTGAAAAAATATTCTTTAAAAATCTTGGTCTTTTGGTCCTTGAAAAAATATTCTTTAAAAATCTTGGTCTTTTGGTCCTTGAAAAAATATTCTTTAAAAAATCCACGTTTCTTGGTCTTTTGGTCCTTGAAAAAATATTCTTTAAAAATCTTGGTCTTTTGGTCCTTGAAAAAATATTCTTTAAAAATCTTGGTCTTTTGGTCCTTGAAAAAGTATTCTTTAAAAAATCCACGTTTCTTGGTCTTTTGGTCCTTGAAAAAATATTCTTTAAAAATCTTGGTCTTTTGGTCCTTGAAAAAATATTCTTTAAAAATCTTGGTCTTTTGGTCCTTGAAAAAATATTCTTTAAAAAATCCACGTTTCTTGGTCTTTTGGTCCTTGGAAAAATATTCTCTAAAAAATCCATGTTTCTTGGTCTTTTGGTCCTTGAAAAAATATTCTTTAAAAAATCCATGTTTCTTGGATCCTTTAAAAAATATTCTTTAAAAAATCCATGTTTCTTGGATCCTTGAAAAAATATTCTTTAAAAAATCCACGTTTGATCCTTGAAAAAAAAAGACCAAAAAACGTGGATTTTTTAAAGAATATTTTTTCAAGGACCAAAAGACCAAAAAACGTGGATTTTTTAAAGAATATTTTTTCAAGGACCAAAAGACCAAGAAACGTGGATTTTTTTAAGAATATTTTTTCAATGATCTAAGAAACGTGGATTTTTTAAAGAATATTTTTTTAGGATCCAAAAAAACGTGGATTTTTTTTAGAATATTTTTTCAATGATCTAAGAAACGTGGATTTTTTAAAGAATATTTTTTTAGGATCCAAAAAACGTGGATTTTTTAAAGAATATTTTTTAGGATCCAAAAGATCAAAAAACGTGGATTTTGTAAAGAATATTTTTTCAAGGACCCTTAGACCAAGAAACGTGGATTTCGCAAAGAATATTTTTAAGGACCTCTAAGTCTACAAACGTGGATTTTTTAAAGAATATTTTTAAGGACCTCTAAGTCTACAAACGTGGATTTTTTAAAGAATATTTTTAAGGACCTCTAAGTCTACAAACGTGGATTTTTTAAAGAATATTTTTAAGGACCTCTAAGTCTACAAACGTGGATTTTTTAAAGAATATTTTTAAGGACCTCTAAGTCTACAAACGTGGATTTTTTAAAGAATATTTTTAAGGACCTGCAGTTGAAGAAACGTGGATTTTTTAAAGAATATTTATTCAAGCACCTGCAGTTGAAGAAACGTGGATTTTTTAAAGAATATTTTTTTTTTTCTTTCAGGAAATATTTTTTCAAGGATCAAAAGACCAAGAAACGGGGATTTTTTAGATAATATTTTTTCGAGGACCTTCAGTTAAAGAAACGTCAATTTTTTAAATAATATTTTTACAAGGACCTTCATATTTACAAACGTGGAGTTTTTAAAGATTATTTTTTCAAGCACCCTTAGACCTTTAAACATTTCATAAAATGTCTTTTCTGAGCATTCCCCACCTCCCCCCTATTCACATTGTGTGTCACTTCTGTTGAATGTTAACTCCAAACACAAATTGCATGTCACTGGGCTTAAATGTGCTTGGTTTTACGGCATTTGCTTTTCTAAAGTGGTTTGAGTTTTAAAATGGAACGAACATCGCAATTTCAATGGCCAACCAACCTCCCTCCCCCCACATCGAAATTCAAATACCTCTCTCAGTCTACGATAACGGAAGGGAGGGCACACATGTGGGTCCTTGATATCTATTTTGCCGAGCCGGCCCCATCAACTCAACTTTATTTTCTTTTTGACAATTGGGCATGGCGAATGGCATTAATGTTGGTTGTTATTGCTTCCCTCTGTCTGTGAAAAAGATTGGGTGATTTGCGCGAAGCGGTTGCTGGGCGGTTGGAATGTTGTGTGTCTGTGTGCCTGTCCCTGTGGCTTTTCGGTACGTGTCTTCAATTGGGCAACAAAACAACATGTGTTCTACCATGTCATTGTGAAATGGTTAAAAGGATTTTTTTTGCCTCGGCAAATCATGGCTACCCCCTCTCCATGCTTACCCTGCGAACCTGTTGTTTGCCTGCATACGTGGCCCAACTGTTCTTTACCAAACAAAGTAGATTTTGTGGCAGGTCAGCGTCGTTTATCCACATCAGGATAATGTTTTAGGCCTAAACAAAGAAAATTCAACTCGGCGCTATGCCTACCATCCATCCATTCATTCATGGCTTTGCATTTTTCTTTCGGGCCAACAATCACGAATGTGAAATTCCCTGGGCCCCGCAAGAAAAAAAAAATACGAATCCAAACAAAACAGAAAACGTTTTCTTGATACACCATATGGTCGCTTCGCCGCTGAAATAGCAAACAAAGCCAGTACCCCCCTCCCCTTCCCTCTCCCCCTTCAGCCATCTTTGGAAAA